TTTGAGTGTCTCTCAGAGCTGCTTTAATTACAGCCCTCCCACCCCCACCCTGAGCATGTAAAAACGCTCTAACCATGAGATTTCTTGCATCTTCAGTTGAAGCCCACATCGTCACTCTTGGTGATAGGTAGTGGACTCAGAGATTGTGGGCTGATTTCCAGTATCACAGTTGGTGGGGAGACCACACCAGCAAGTCATGGTAGTAACTCCAGCTTTCTCTGAAGCAAGAGAAGACCCTGGGCCCAGATAAATGAGTGTCCTAACCTGTTTGGTTCAGAGGACAGGAGCTGCATTTTGTGACTTTGGGTAGAGAAAAGAAAAGGGAAACAGGTAAAAATGATGAGACACTCGTGTTCAAATATTAAGTGAAAATAGATGGTGAGACATGAAGATAAGCAGAAAAAGACTGGGTTGGGAGAGGTCACGAGTACAGCATTTTCAAAGGAAAGGGACACCTCTCCAAATGCTTTAAGTCTGTTAATAAAAGTGATTGGGACAGCAGGAGGAAGACTTCCTTCCCCACTGTAGCTCCTTTGAGGTAAGGCTGTTTCTGTGTTGCCACCACATTGGTTTAACTCAGCTGGTACAGAGCTGTGCTGGATAAAAAATGGGGAACCAGTCTGTTGATTTAACTCAGGGATATATTAATGGGCAACACAGGTACGCGCTGATGCATATCTGTTTCTGCCAAAATGAATATTATGCTATTGTTGTGTGTACACAAGATGCAAGTCCTTCACAAGAGACTAATAAGGAAACTGAGGTATCTAAGATGAGAGGTAAAATCCCCCTGAGACTAGGAGACTGGCTGAGACAGAAAGCAAAGAGTAGATCTGCTGGAAGGTATCAATTTCTGCTGTCAAACAAGCTATCAAACATCTGATCCATAGACAAACCTATGGGTAAGGCCAACAGGTGAGCATCTTTCTTTCCTTCATGCTAGATGGAAGAAGCAATGCAGTCTCTTTTTGTGGTGCAATTGCTGGAAACAAAAAAAAAGTCACTGCCCAAGGCAAGGGGCTCTGCAGCTAAGCCCGTTTGGAAACTATGCTGATTTGCAAATGTAGAGCCTACAAGATGGTTTGGTACGTTCTGTGTGCGTCTAACATGCAGAAAAGAGAGCTGAGAGAGAAAACCAGCAAGCAGAGAGAGAGAAGCCATTATTTACAAGTGCCTGAGAAGAAGCAGAGACATTAAAGTTCTTGGAGCATAGAAGTGACTAGAGGGACAGACATTGAAACAGTGAGGGAGGAAACTGCCTGCTTTTCCTTGTTCCTACTGGGTTCGAGGAAATAGGACTTTGTGTATGTTCATTGGAAACAAGTGAGATTGCATCAAACAACGACCTGACTCATGCCATCCATTTTCTCTCTTAATGGAAACAAACTGCAAGGCCCCAAATATTAGTTAACTGCTCTGGGCAATAGAAAAATAGAGTCAATTTTCAGCACAGTGAAAAATTACCAGCAGAGACCCTATGAGGTTCCATATAAAGAACTGCGTCTTTAAATACAGTCATTAACGATCTGGAAAACGAGGTAAACAATGAAGTGGCAAAGCATGCAGATGAGACACAAGTATTTAGATTAGTCCAGCCCAAAGAAGCCTGTGGGGGACTTCAGAGAAACCTACCAAAGCTAAGTGAATGAGTAGAAGACTATGGTTGCCAATTGCTGCAGTGTAATGCAGAATGGCAGGGATCATTTAAACTACTCAGACAAAGGGCTGGGCTCTAAATTAATTTTAAATCTGGACTTATACCTGGGGGTAACTGTAGATGGTTTAAGCAAAACCTCTACTCAATGTGCAGCAGTGCTGATAAAAAACAAAGCTGTATAAGGATGTATGGGGAATATACTGGAATGCAGGACTGAAAATGTTACGCTCAAAGGTAATACTGACTTGCGTTAGGGGAACCGGAGATCCAAAGGCAATCACAACTCTCCTTACATCCAGAAGGTGTGCCAAATAGTTTCTTTTAGGCTCAAGAAAAGGAGGAATCGGGCCCCTGTACATAGTCAAAACCAATATAATAAATAGGCCACGTGGTAAGAGGTCTGAGGCATGGCATCTTCCTAGGTGGTGAACAAGGGGTAGGAGACTGGTCACTGTTGGAGGCCATGCCAGGAGAAGGAGCTGTGAGTGTGAACCTGAAAGAGCAGATGGACAGGGCATCCTGGGCACCAATCGCACTGGCATGGGAAACTTGGGGATTTATGAGCAAGGAAACTGCCTGCTCTTTGGTTTTACTGTGTTCAAGCAAACAGAGATTTGAGTATGTTCACTATAAAAAGACAAGGTTATGCCAAGAAAACCTCCAATTCCGGATATAATTGATTTCTCCTCATAACAAAGAAAAACCCTTCAAAACCCCAGCTGCAAAGTGCTGAGGGCAAAGAGGCAACAAGATCACAGTGCCGTTATGTCCATCAGTGGGATGCCCTCTGATCCTGCTATCTAATGCTGAGGCTGGGCTCCCTCCCCCATACAGCGAGTCTGATGTGTTGCTAAAGATAACAGAGGAGAGTTTATTCCTGTGAGAAACCCAGAGAGAGAAAGCCTCAGTGCTGATCTCTGTGAGAAAGGGATGGGAAAGAGATAGCCTCTCATTGATGCACAGCCACAACCACCTCCTTGTTCCTAACTAGCCAGCCTCAGCAATTTGTGCCTCTGAGCTTCCTAGCAGCGTCACCCCGGGCTGTGATTTTATTGGAGCCTGTGAGCCTGGGCATGGCTGTCTCGTGTGCTGTGTTCATACAGACCTGAGGCAGGGAGATCCTCAAGCTGATAGAGCGGTAACACCCTGACTTACTCTGGCTTGGCCCAGTGAGATAGTAGGTTTGTTACTGGGTACATAGAGCTTATCTCAGCTTGACAGACTGGCCCACACTGGAAAGGGAAAATGAACTGCTGGACTCCACAGGGGCTGTACAGGGCTTCAAGAAGCAACACGCTGTAGGAGACCAGGAGCTCAAAGACAGCTTCCGTCCCCTCTTTGAACTCATCCCCACCCTGCTGACAAGGCCTGGTCTCTCCTGGTCCCTTTGGCTGAGTACTTGCAGGGGGAGTGGATCCAGATTTCCCAAAGAGTGGTGAGGGAGCAGCACCCTACATTGCAGGGTTAGCTGCACCTCTCCTGCTCCCTGCCTCCCCACCCTCCTTTCTCCCTGTTCCCCTGCAGTAGCCTCCAAGGACTTTGTCAAATGCCTAAAGCAGATGAAAATCCTCACTCCCTTCCCCTTCATGCTCAAAGGCACATGCTCTGCCCTCCCCTTCCCTTGCTCCATCCCTTGTGGCTACTGTTTTCCCTGCTGTCCAGGGGAAACTCCAGAGCTGCTTCTGCCTGCTGCCTCTGGGCTGAGCAGAAGGGGGCACTCAGCTAGGGAGAAGGGCTGGACAGCAGCTGTAGGGATGGGTGTGGGGGGGTCTTCCTCCACATGCCTGTTATCAGGGGACCAGGCAGGGAGGGGAAAACTACTTTCCCACCACACTATTGCTGCTGCTCCTGTCCCCAGGTGAGCACCCTCCCCATAAAGCCCCACTGGGTGGGGCAAAAGGGCTTCCCTCATCCCTGGGACCAGGAGGAAAGCATCAATGGCCAGCAGAGAAGGGAGGACGGGGGGAAGGGGCATGCCTATGAGCACCAAAGGGAAGGGAATGGGGTTTTCACCTGCTTCAGGGACTTAGAAAAGACCCCAGAGACTCCTGCAGTGCACTTCAATCCAAAAGGAGTGCAGCTGCACCACTGCACCCTCCCTGGATTTGCCCCTGGGGGAGACAGTCTCCTTGGCCTCGATGTCAACACCACAGCAGTCCCCACCAGCAAGGAGAAGTCTTTGCAAAGGGGAATCCCTGGTTGGTCCCTTTAGCTCTGCTGGGCAGCTGAGAAACCAGGTGGAGCCGGAGTGCACAAAGCGCAGGGGCGGGCAAAATGCGGCCCGGGGGCCAGATGTGGCCTGCCAGGCCGTTCTATCCGGCCCGCGGGGTCCCTAAAAACATTTAGAAAATTAATATTTATCTGTCCCTGGCTGCCTATCATGCGGCCCCCAATGG